AATTAAGTGAAAATATTAATTTAACCTTATATGAAATGGTGGAGATAGGAAGTAGATTAGATTGCATTAATAATAGATCAGATACTTATAATATAAGTTATGTTAATTACAGTGGCGTATCCAAAATTTTCTTATGGGGGGGGGGGGGGAAATTTTTGGGCCGGGTCTTATGTTTTAGCTATTCCATTTAATTATTTATAATTTAATAATAATTATATTTCTATTTGTAACTATTATTTACTAATTCGTGCTAATGGATATTACAAGCCTATTTTTTATTATTTTTAGTTAGGTATGTTATATTTAATAAAGTTTTTTAAATGTAAAGTTGAAATAAAGTTTAATGTCATTTTTTTTATTACATTTGCTTTAAAAACTAGCCTCAGCTTAAACATACAATATAAGTATAATATAATTTTTTTATTGAAAATACTAATAGTAGTGTGTATAAAATATTAATGTTGTTAAACGGCTCGTTTTGAGCCGATTTTTAAAAACGGCTAACTCAATATTTTCTCCAGAAAAATATTAACTAAGCCTCGAAATTTCGATACTATATGTCTAGACCTTTGCTCCTTCTATGAGCAAAATTTTCAGGCTTGCATAATATTTTTCTGGATAAATAACTGAGTTAGCCGTTTTTAAAAATCGGCTCAAAAACGAGGCGTTCAACAACACTATAAAATATTGACTAGAAAATAATTTAAACAACAAGTTTTTTTAAACTTCTTATCAAATACAATATTATACAAATTTTTTTATTAAATACTATAATTATAATGTGATTTTTAATTTTCGTGGGAATTTTGCCAATTCATCAAGAATTTTGTTTGTCTTTGGAATCAAATCTTTGTGGATATTTAACAGAGCTAACCCATTTAGCCGAGATTCGGAAGTAGTACTTCATAAATATGTTTTCAACCTTCTTAAGTTGGAAAGTACTTTCATTCGTACATGTTATAATAGGCAAACATGGTAGAATGTAAAACAACTTCAAAATATTAGGAATTTGAGCCAAGGTTTCTTTACACCGATTGAGCGCATCAATAGCATGCTCAGGTAAAATAGCTAAACGTAGTAAATATTTATACCACAATTCGAATTCACTGATTAAATTTATTTCAGTATATCATAGGAATAAAATTTTGCTAAATATTTAATTTTACCAATAGTGGCATTAGAAAACGAAGATGGATCTTTGGGTATTAAAACTTGAAGATTGCTAAGCAATTGTTTTTTATCTAAAAACCGTACTTTTATTTGCGATAAAAAAGTATCTAAAAATGGGATGAAAGTGGATATTTTATAATATTCTTCAGTGCCAATATTTATTTAACATCTCAATAATTGCCCAGGTGCTAGACGAGGTTTAATTAGTGTTATATCATAAAATTTAGCCTTCGATTCAACGTCTATATAAATATTATGAAAATATTCATATATTTTCCGCCAAATCAATAACCTGAACCAAATCTAAATTTTGTAAATTTCTACAAAGTAGTGAGCTATAGGAAAATAATTTATTGATGCAACTAGCAGCAATGATAAACTCTGATTGATCAATTGAATTCAATAATGATATCGCTTCTGATGACATATTACTTTTTTTCATGCTCAGCCTTATTTAACTTCTGTATTTCTATTTCTTCTGTTCTACAAAATCGAAGTAAAATTAAAATATTTAAAAAATTATAGATATTTATTAATAATTAATATTAAAAAAACAAATGATCCTTTATTTTCAATTTTCAAATAATAAATAATATAAAGTAATAAAAAAAACGAAAATATAATATTTTATGTTTTAATATATTTAAAAATGTTTGAAAAATATATGATAATACTATAAAAAAAGAATGAACGGAGATGGTGTGACGCAGGGAAACAAAAATGAAAAAGGGACGTAAGTGCTGTCTAGGATAGCTATTTGGCTAGAAGACTACCATTGAAACTGATATAATTAGCTTTGAGAATCGCTATGGATAATCGTTGACGAAGAAAAAAACCCTCTCGAGGTTCTTCTGAGAGTTTGCTGATTTGTGATCCTAAGTTTTTGAAAAATGCTAAGGCGAGTTTGCCGAAGGTGCCAAGAGTGGTTGATATGATTGGGATGAAGCAATGATCGTTCATTATTTCTGTGTATTTAGAGGTTTTAAGTTGTTCCTTCTAGTCAAGGATGTTGATGGCGTGGTTGGATGGGTCCAAGGGGTCAATACAGGAATAGTCCCATACCAAAAGTTGGCCTCCATGGGATTTGAGAGATCCCGTCAGGACGTTTACCGTCAGATCTAAAAAGACCTTGTGGTTCTAGAGTGGAAGGAATTTGGGCGGATTTCAGTGCATGTTGGATGATTGTGTTACATTGCTTGTGTCTGATGAATCGTCCAAATGTAAACTATGTCTACCCTTCGAGTCAACTGGCGAGTTGCACCCTGAGCAGATGTGAGGGTGAGTGATGGAACAATTTAGACGAATGCCGATGGCGTGGGTTAATTCATGGTTGGATAGTTGAAGCTGAAGATTGATAGATGGGATGGCCTCCAGAAACTCATGTCCCGTGCCATTGAGCAGGGAAGAGAATAGGGTGCGGTCGGTAGATTGCATGCTAGATAAGAGAGTTTCAACGCAGCGAGAAACCACTGGTGCATCCCAGTCTTTCTGTCTATGGGTTGTGGGGGGATGAGAATCAGCATTGATCCAGGTTTTCCAAATATCCATAGCCACGATTAAGGAAAGGTCTTCTTTAGAATTATGGGCGGTGGTTATTGGCTTTGTCAAGAGACTACTCGATATGAAAGTAGTTTTTGCTAAGTCATGTGGAGATCTGATGCCGAGACCACCAGATTTGGTTGGAAGAGTTGCTTGGGCCCAAGCGGTTTCGTTGAATCTGATATTTACTATTTTTTCGGTTAAGTCCTTTATTCCTTTTTCGTAAGTTTGGAGAGGAATAGGATATTTAATAATTGGTGTTGATCGAAGTGCGTAAAGAATCCTTGGTATAAAAAAGAAATTTTTTAGCACAAAAAAGGACTTGTGTGATGGAAGAAGTGTAAAGATATCCTCCAGTTTAAGGAGTATGTCGAGTGTGGAATGAAGAAAGGTGCTTATTGCCTCGTGTCCTCCTACAGGCGATCCTAGATGTGTTAATTCAACGCTTGATGTGAATTTGAAATCGTGAGTGTTGGGAGCATTAGAATTTAAATGTGAGAATTCAGATTTGCTCTGGTTAAGCGAAAGTCCAATGGCTGTGCCCATTTCTTTAATTATGTTGACTGCTTTGGCGATTTCACTAGAGGGACCACTCAAGATTCCATCATCAATATACCAAGCGTGGAGCGATAGAATACATGAAGAGTTTATTGATTTTATCATGTCATTGATTCCAAGACTAAAGAGAAGGGATCCGAGAGGGTCACCCTGTTGGATACCCTCGACAGAAAGTATCTTTTCTTTGTTGAATTGTAAGATTGTTGGTGATTGGTAGCAAGAGAAAAGAAATTTGGTGTAAGCGGGGAAATGGAAGCAAGTTGAATGTAGGAACGTGTTGCGCGAAAGAGTGTTGTAGGCGTTAGAGAAGTCAATTTTTATTAGGGATTCGTTTTTTGGGTTATTTTCAAGGTGAATTCTTGTTAAGTGCACAGCAGCTTCACACCCACCAGGTATCCCTACACCAAGTTGGTAGGGGCTTAGAATGTGTGCGGCATCGTGTTTGATTTTAGATGCGATTAATTTAGCTACCAATCTACGGTAAGTTGAACCAATAACGATGGGCCGAATGTCCTTGTTTAGTTTTTGGAGTGCGATGAGTTTGGCACCGAAAAGTAAGGGGGTAATAAAGCTGGGTACGTCTCCATTTAGGATTTTGTTGACTAAGTTTGTGATTTTAGTGAGAATTGAAACCTGAGTACAGATCACAGGAGAGGTAATGTCCTGTAAAAAAATTGGTCTAATCCCATCTAGACCATGAGCCGAATCTCGATGAAAAGATAGGATTGCTTTCCTTACTTCTTCCTGTGTGAAGTCTGCTGCACAATGGGAGTAGGGTTGGGGCAATATTGGCATAAATGTTGTTGTGGGATGCTTTGATCGAAGCTTAATTAAGGTATCTAAATTGGATTCCGCCAGAGTGTCATTGGTTGAAATGAGTTTGAGGGTTCCATATTAAGACTGTCGATTTTCTTCTTTTTGTTGAAGTGGGGTTATTTTATTTTTTTTTGGATGTCTGGTGATTTGGGACTCATGAAGATGAGTGTTGATGTTTAAACAGGCATCTTTTATTTGTTGAGTTAAGGATTTTTGGAGTGATATGTTAGGTATTTTGAAAGTATTGTACCCGAAGTTTAGAAATTTTAACCATTCTTCTTCATTGTTAAAATTTTGCAAAAGAGAAGATATGCAGTTGCTGAGAGATTTAGCTACTTGTATTCTCGCTCCTTTGGGTATTCTCGTTATGATAATTGGTTTTGTGGAGTTAAGAAAAATATCTGAGAATGAGGCACCAATTACTTGGTTTAGGGGGGGATCTATGAGAGGGAGGGGAAGCGAGTAAGTGATCTGAGAAAGAGGCATGTGTTTTGAATGCTGACACCTGTTAGAGATTGGTCCATGAACAAAAAATTCTCCATCATTTGTTAAATGTATTGGTTTCAGGCAGGATGGGCAGATTTTGCGTTCATGGGGGATGGCCATAGGTAAAAAAAAATGCTGCCAATAATAAAGCAAAAGCGTACTTATTAATTCTAACTTACTAATAATTTTGAATTTAATATAATAATTATATATAATAATAAAATAAATTACCATTTGATTTCAATCTCTTTGACTTAAAATTTTTCCATTTTATTAATATTTTTGAATAATGTTAATGTACTCACAAGGAAAGGAAATTTTAATAAAATTTATTTATAAAAAATCAATTTTATGTTGGAAAATTGATATTCAAATATTTATAAAATTTTGATTGAGGGGGGGGGGGAGGGTAAAATTTTTATTAGCTTAAAATGATATTTATGAAAACAGTCAAATTTGGCGCCTGGACGATAAAGTATGATAAAGATCGAAACTTTAATATTAAAAACAATGAGCACAAAGATTTAGTTAACCAAAGCTCTTCCGATAACACTTTTCCTAGATATAATTGCAGGAATGATAATAATAATTATTTCAGACCTAATAATAATTTTAGAAATAATTTTAGACAAAATTATGATAATAGAGATAATAATTATAATAGGAATAGAAATAGGAATTACGATAATAATAATTTTAGATGCTATGATAGGAATTACTGTAATAATAATTTTAGATATCATTATAATTATAATAACTATAACTACAACAATTATCGCTACAACAATAATAACCAATCTAATTACGGTAGAAATAATACATGGCATGATAATAATCAGAGGAAACATATCCAATATGGTGATCAAAATCGCAATAATTATCAATCCTATAGTAACAATTCAAATAATTATAGAGGTAGCGACAACTATCAGAGAAAGCAAATACAATATAACAACAACGACCATAATATGAATATTGAAAAAATTGTTAAAGAGAAAGTCGATTCTACAAAAAACAAAGATGATAACAATTTTAACATTAACAATTTATCTGGGGACATGCTTAATGATAAAGATAAGGCATTTATGACTACTTTAAAAGTGAATGATATTATAACAACTATGCAAGTTGACAAGGGTTCCAAATACACCATTATACTTCATGAACAGGGTTGCCATGTCTCCCCCCATCAGCGAGAGACTTCCGTAATTTATTAGTTTACACGCAGACATCTCTCTCCCGCAAAACTACCGCAATTGGAAATCTCCCGCATAAATCTACCGCAATTTTTTAATTTCTCCCTCAATTTTTTTAAATAGTATTTTAACGTTTTTAACATATAAATAATAATTTTGAGAGACGTTAATTGATTATTTTTATATTTTTAAAATATTAAATATTTATTCGAAAAACATGTCTAGTTTGTAAATTTCTTTCTATCCTGTTTTATTTTTAACCAATGATAAATCTTTCATTCATATAAGTCAGTACAGGGGAGTATATCAACATCGATTGCAATACAAAATTATTCCCAAAAATAATAAATAATAAAGATGCAACTACATTTGAGGAAATCGTATACATCTATCATGTAGTTCAACATTCACAGAGCTAATCATCACAATGTGGGTCGAATCTTTTTCTCATGATATATAACGACTCCATATAAGTGCAAACCTTACTTGTGGCAGAACAAAAATGAGCAAGGGTTTCACAAGTGTTTTAGTATCTGAATCCTAGAGGTCAATTCTAGCGTCTACATGACAAGATTTTTACTGGATGAAAACCCCCTTCAAAAACCTTTGCCTACCCCCCTATTATTATTTTCACCTATTTATTTATTGATACTCTTTTCAAAGAATTTATAAAGGATAACTTAAATTAATGTATCTCTACTACCAACTATCGATATTTTGTGAATATAAAGAATATATTTTTTAGATAATAAATTCAATTAAAACCTCCATTATTTACAATGAATTAATTATTATAGCATTATGAGCTTGCTGAAATATCTAAACCTTTTAAATTACATTTAAAAGGATAGTTTATTTGGAAAACAATGTGTATGAATTGTTTGCAATATATAGATTTGGTCGATGAATTGTATTATAATAATACTAATAGTATTAATTTTTACAGCATTAAATTTTGTCCTATTTCATCTCAAAATTTAATAGATAACACGCCAAAAAATTTATCCTACCCCCATTAAAGCAGCTTACCCCCTACCCCCTCCAAAAAATATGATGCGAACTGTTCCTACGTTGCCAGGTCAAAATTTTCAAATTGCGGGAGAAATTTGATATTTTGCGGGAGAAATATGGAAATTGCGGGAGAAATATAAAAATTACGGTAGAAATAAAAAATTTGCTAAAAAAGGCCCGCAAGATCCCGGCTGGGCCGGGATTTTGAATTGACTTAATTATCCACCTATTGTTTTTTATAATTAGTTTATGTTGTAATTGTGGTAACATGCAAATTTTCTAGATTAAGAAAAACGCCAGACAGGCAAATTACTTTTAAACAAAATTACGAAGCCGAAAGATATTCAAATCTACTCAAGAAAAAAGAATTAAATTTCGATACAAATTGAGACTATGCAAATGTTGATTAAAGAAAAAAGGATATATAATGGAAAAATTATGATGCGAAAGACAAAGATTAAATTATGATTTTACGAACTTAATTTTTTTAATCTTTAATTTTAATTTATATTAATTTATTTTATTATGATTATGTTTTTATCTTATTATTCAATAAAGATTTAGTATCATTTTAATTCTAACCTTTCTTTATTTGACGAATATTATAGAAAAGTATATATAATCGAGGATATTTGTCTGATTTAGTATCATTTTAGTTCTAACCTTTCTTTATTTAACAACGGTTCTAATCACCCAATCCTTCTAAATTCTTCAAAATGTTACATTGGTGTTGGAGAGCGGAGGAGACCGGGCCATTACAATAATTCAGTCTAATTAACTCTGAAAAGAGATTCTAAATAAAGGGGGAAGGGGATGTATGAAATGACTATCGACACAAAGACAAAATATGAGGTCAATGAAACATGGTGTCAATATCAATGGTCGTAATTCGAAAAAGAATAGAATTAGTCGTTTAATTAAAAGGAATTCGTCACAAGAGATCGTTATACGTACAAATGATCGATGTAGCTAAAAGAAATTCGTTATAAATTGTTATTTAAGTTGATAATATTTAGCAAAATATCAGGTTGTTGATTAACCAAAATCTTCATAAAGAGAAACGGCTTTTCGTCATTAGAAAATTTATGCCGCAATCGAGCTCAATTAGAGATCGGATTTTTTATTTTGGATCAAAAGATACAAGAAATCATTATCGTATAAGAGATCTTAAGAAAACGTGGATATCTTGACAAGCGACTAGGTAGAACAAGTGGTCAAGACCAGGATGCTATCGTTAATCGTTGACAAATTATCGCCAGTTGCTTATCAAAACTTTAGTATAGGATAAAAAATCGATGATCTTAGAAACAAGAAGTCGTGGAAACCATCGTTACTCGCAGACAAATTATCGGCAGTCGTTTACCGTCATTAGTTACTAGAAATCGTTAGAAACAAGCAAAGACTAGGATAATTTGGGATTAAAACGAAATATAATTAAAAGAGCTAGAAGAATGTATCGGGAATCATGATAACAGATTCGTCAATGGCCTATAAAGATCAAGAGATATTACAAGGGGCTGACAAGAAACAGAAGGAATCAAGAATTTCAGAGTGTAATCTGATACAAACAGTCCTTAGAAGTGAAGAATATTAGACAATAGACCGCCGTCGTTAGAAACTAGAAGACATTAAAGATTAAGACGAATAGATTTGGTGGAGAAACAAGATCAGTAAAGTCAAAATCGGAAGAAAGGAGATCATTCGCAGAATGGTGGGACTAATCTAAGTGAAAAGGTGTTGTAATTGTGGTAACATGCAAATTTACTAGATTAAGAAAAACGCCAGACAGGCAAATTACTTTTAAACAAAATTACGAAGCCGAAAGATATTCAAATCTACTCAAGAAAAAAGAATTAAATTTCGATACAAATTGAGACTATGCAAATGTTGATTAAAGAAAAAGGATATATAATGGAAAATTATGATGCGAAAAACAATGATTAAATTATGATTTTACGAACTTAATTTTTTTAATCTTTAATTTTTAATTTTAATTTATATTAATTTATTTTATGTCACAATGAAGCGATTTGTCATTGTGAATCAAAACCTAAATATAAAAATAGAAAACAAATATATATATATATAAAAGAAATTAATAATAATTAGGAATCACGAAATCAATTTAATGCTTTATTCAAAATTATAACATTATCAAATTAACAAATTATAAAGATAAAAATAAAATACAAAAAGTTAATAATTAAAAAAGATCTTTTTGTATGGTAAAAATTGGCCTTTTTATATTCTTCTCAATCTTCTTAAAACTAATATTCATAACTATTCAAATATAATATTTTTATCACGCGTTATAATAATAAATCCAAAAGAATTCTTTATGCAAATTAAATATAAAGTACAACAAAATCCAAAATAATTCTTTATGCAATGTTGTAAATCTAACATTTACAACATTTTGATTATGTTTTTATCTTATTATTTAATAAAGATTTAGTATCATTTTAGTTTTAACCTTTCTTTATTTGACGAATATTATAGAAAAGTATATATAATCGAGGATATTAGTCTGATTTAGTATCATTTTAGTTCCAACCTTTCTTTATTTGACAACGGTTCTAATCACCCAATCCTTCTAAATTCTTCAAAATGTTACAGTTTAAATAAATACAAATTCGGTAACTATTTTTCAAAATAAAATAACATCTTGATTTATTAAAATATTAATTTATAAAAAATAACCAATGATCCTTTTTAAATATAAAAGAATTAAACAAGATAAAATTTCATAAAAAAAACAAACGATTTTAATTTTACAATGTAAAAAATATATTTTATGCAAATTTCCCGCAAAACATCCGCAATTGGAAATCTACCTTGTGTGTGTGTATAACGTTATACGGATAGGCGCTTAATTATCACGTATCACGTTTAAATACATAATAAAGTAATATTGTACTCATTTTAATGATAATTATTTTCTTTATTTTTGTTCATTCACATATAATCAGTGGAGGAGAGTGTATCTACATCCATTGCAAAACAAAAATATTCTCCAAAAATAAGAAATAATACAGATGCAACTACAGTTGAAGCAATTGTAATCACTTATCTTGTAGTACAACATTCACAGAGCTACTTATCATTACAATGTGGGTAGAATCTTTCCCCATAATATTTAACGACTCCAAGATAAATGAAAACCTTACTTGTAGAACAAAAATGAGCAAGGATATCATCAATGTTTTAGTACCTGAATTCAGGAGGTCAATTCTTGACGATTGAAAGATGGGCATATATATGCAATTCTAACAGATGCATCTAATAAGGGAAATATTAAAATGTTTCTTTTGATCCTTCGCTATTTTAACAAAATTAAGGACGTTTCAAGAAAACTATTAAATTTTTTCCCCTCATATAGTGAAAAATCCAAAGACATAGCTAACCATATAATGGTAAATACAGCAGATTCGTGATTTTCAATAAATTGCATGTTAACTTTCTGATCTGATAATGCCTCAGTGAATTTGGAAAAAACCAGAGTGTATTTACAGAATTGAGTCAGCACAATGTTGGTTGCGATATGTTCCTAATACCCTCCATCTATAGAATTTTAAAATTTTATAAACCTTTAAGTATTTCTTAAATAAAGATTATAAAAGCTGTCCTGACATTTTGAAAATTTTTTTCAGTAATGAATAACAGAGGTATATTTAGGAATGATTTTCCATGTAGGAAATCTACTACATGCTGTTAATGTGTAGTTGCAATCAGAAGAATCTTAACAAAGATTCACAAAATTATGCTGCAGATATGTTCATCTTTACAGTTAATAATTGACAATAAATTTTATGGCGCCATTGCTATAACTTAATTATATTTTATTTGAGATTTTTAAATAATAGAACTAAATGTTTACAGTCGATATAGGGATATTTATAAAATTCCTGGCATGAAATATTATATATTTGTTATTAGCTCGGCCTCTAATGTTTCTAATATGTCATCCTTGCTTATAAATAACTCAAGGCTTTAATTAATTTGCATAATTA